GTTTCCAAGAAGTGACTAGTGAGTTTGAACTGCTGACACTGTGGTTCAAACTGACCTGTGGTCTTGTACTTATTCTACAACACCACGTCAGGACTCCAATTACTTTATCTTAGGTGATAACATCTGAAATTATGGATATAATTCATAGGATATAATCTTTCCTGAATCACAATATATCACAATAAACTAAAAAAATTGTTTAAAAGTTCTCACATACATCTCCAATACTAACACCAATAAATGCATGATTAACGGTTAACTTACATAAAGACCATATTTTATAGTAAACATAATAAACTATTTTACTCAGGAAAAAAATAAAGATATATGGAAACAAAACACCCAAGTATATTAAAAAGAAATGAGGACATTTAAATAACTAAATAATAGCCTATGAGAAGTAGATTTCTAAGTATTACAAGAAAAAGCATTTTCAGTTGAGAAAGGGTTTGGGGGGAGAGGGGGAACAAATAACCAATATAGGTCATTGCTATCCATCCAAGGGTATGAAATTTCCACTGGTTCTTTCTATAACCAAATTTCTCCTAGTCTAAACTCATTTATTTCCTTTGTAGAACAAAAAAATCTCTGACACCTTAGATAAAATCCTGAAATAACTCAAGGAATATTTTATTATTGCTGCTAATATAATTAATAACAGTTGTTTTTATGTACCATAGAGTCAATTCTGACACAAAGCGACCCTGTACATAGTTTCCGAGGCTATAAATCTTTACAGGAGCAGAAAGCCTCATTTTTCTCCCACGGAACAGCTGGTAGTTTCCAACTGGTAACCCTGTGGTTCGCAGCCTGATTCATAACCACTATGCTACCAGAGCCCCTTAATTAATAACAGTAGTCACTGATTATCTAGGCAAGGACTGTGATGAATACAATTTATCACAAGGCCATGAAAAATGTATTATTACACGTATTTTTAAATTGAGGACGCTAAAATTTTGAGAATCTAAACAACTAGTAAATAATAATTGGGGCAAGTTAGGGCCAGGGAGTGTGGGGATACATTAAGTTAGAATTTAAAACTTAAGTCCTGGTGGGCTATACGTTACAATGAATTAATTAGCAGGTAAAAATGTATTGTCCTTCAAGTTGTTGTTGTTGTTGTTGGGTGCCATTGAGTCGGTACCGATTCATAGCAACCCTTGAGGAGTAAAACTACATCAATGCTACCCTTGAACACAATGCTTCTGGTACTTTGCATCTGCAACTACATGTATAACTTAAAGCTCATTCTTCTGCATTGCTCACTTGAGGACTGAGTGAATATATAAAATAATTAAATGTCATTCTGAAGGAAGTACAGTAAATAAGACGAGTGACACTGGATCTCAAAAAATCTGTATGTGCTAACACAAGGTATGACATTTGATACATGTGCTGTCAAATAGGTTCTGACTCATAGTGACCCTGTGAACAGAACAAAACACTGCCGGGTCGTCCATCATTCTCACAATTGTTCTCAAGTTTGAGCTCATTTTTACTGCCTCTGTGTCAATCCATTTCAGTGGGGGCCTTCCCCTTTTTCACTGACTCTCCACTGCCCCAGTACTGGTAGCTCCTGATCACATGTCTGAAGTATAAGAGATGAGGTCTCATCATCCTGGCTTCTAAGAAGCATTCTGGGTGTATTTCTTCCAAGACAGACTGGTTTGTTCTTCAGGTAGCCCATAGTACTTTCAATACTCTACAACACCATAATGTAAATGCATCCATTCTTCTCTGGTCTTCATTATTCACTGTACAACTTTCCTGAGCATATGAGGCCATTGAAAATATTATGACTTGGGTCAGGATCACCTTAGTTTTCAAAGTGACATTTGATACATATTCAGACTCCAATTCCATTTCTGAATCTCAGTCTTGAAAGGAAAAGGAAGTGTGCATTTAAAAGTAAAGTAATGATTTCCTCATGTAGCTTCTAAATTAGCTACAAAAACAATCCCAAAAGAAGAAGTTAAAAAAAAAAAAAAATCTATGAACATGGCAATGTCAATGGATTGGAAAATATACGCCAAAAGAATTACTTAGAATAAAAGCTGTATAGCTGAATAAGCTTCCAAGACATATTAGAGAATGAAGTCACTAACACAGCCCAATGATTTAAAAAAACTAACAATTTTCTCATTTTTAAAACATTTTAATTTTTGTTCCTCTCCAAATAGGTTATGTGAAACTGGTTCAGTATTTTTTAATCTTTTCTAAGTTGTCATCAGCAGTATTGTTCAAAATTCTGATTAGTAGAGAAAATCAAAAACAATTTTTCAGTTCACCTTGGTGAATCTACTGATTCTTTCTCATCAATATTCCTTGAAGGTCAAGCTACCAATTCATATTCCCTAGATATCCAGTATAATACAAATTAACATGTTTGTCCCAGCAAAATCTTTGCTTTCTAATTTTATTAGTTTTAATTCAAAGAACATTTAACCTTTTGATACTTTGTCTCAGTCTTAACCAATTGCTTCATATGAATAATAACTCTAGCCAAATGAGAATTTAATGTGTATATATTTTACATTCCTTCTTCCATGACATCACTATAAATGAACAGAAATGGATCTTGATGCAATGCCAATTATTGCATCTATTATAAAACTGCGAAACCATCAGTAATTATACTTTACATAATGCAGTGATATGTATTTTTAAGGACTCATACACTAGTAAGTAAGGAGCTCTGGTAGCGTAGTGATTACGAATCGGACTGCGAACCGCAAGGTCAGCAGTCCAAAACTACCAGCTGTTCTGCGGGAGAAAGATGAGGCTTTCTGCTCCCGTAAAGACTTACAGCCTCGGAAACCCTGTTCAGGGTCGCTATAAGTTGGAATCAACTCCAAGGCACATAACAACAAGAACAACACTGGTAAGTGACAAAAACCCAGTTTAACCTACCCATTGCCATCGCTTCACTTCTGACTCATAGCAACCCTGTAGAACAGAGTAGAACTGCCCCATACGGGCTTCAAGGCTCTAAATCTTTACAGATGCAGACTGTCATATCTCGCAGAGTAGCTGGTAGGTTTGAACCATCAACTTTGCAGCTAGCAGCCGAGTGCTTAATCATTGTGCTACCAGAGCTCCTAGTTTATGCAAAAAGCTGGGATTCATTGTCTTTAAGAATACAAAGGGATTCCTGCTGTCCGCGTGAGCCCTGTTTGTTCTCTGTATCCTGTGCACACAACCTTGCAAGTGATGGCACCAAGAGTCTGACATCCAATTCCAGCGTACAAATTGAACGGATTGCAGCAGTTACCATTGCTGCAGGGACTACTGCAATCGGTTATCTCGCTTACAAAAGATTTTATGTCAAAGATCATCGCCACAAATCTATGGTAAACCTTCACATCCAGAAAGACAACCCCAAGATACTACACGCTTTCAACATGGAGGATTTGGGAGATAAAGCTGTGTACTGCCGTTGCTGGAGATGCAAAAAGTTCCCACTCTGTGATGGAGGTCACACAAAACACAATGAAGAGACTGGAGACAACATAGGACCTCTGATCATCAAGAAAAAAGAAACTTAAATGGACAATTTTGATGCTACAAACCAACATGTCATGATGTTACCTGGTTGCTTAATTAGGATGAATACCACTTCTGTCTAATTCACATCCCCTGGGTTCTAGATGTGGCATATATTGTAAACTGCAGCTTTTACATTCAAGGCATTTGCCTTACTTGTTGAACCATCGTGGTGAACATTTGTTTAATCAGAAAAAAAAAAAAGGAAAAACCAACCTTATGGCCTGTGGGTTATTTTGGTCTTGTTAAGGATCTGCTTCTTTAAATTCAAAATAATGATGATATTAGAATGTCACTGCATGTTGAAGCTAACATATTAAATTATTCTCAAAATCATGTATATGCAGACTGCACTTGAAAGTTTCCAAGAAAGTTATTATTTTTTTCGTATTACTTGGTTAACACAGAAAGTAAATTAGGTGTGGTTAAGCTATAAAAAAAAAAATAATAATAAAAGAATACAAAGGACTGAAAACTCAGTGACAGCCAGGGATAGACAAATCTCAGAAACAATTTTAACTAGACTCTCTAATGACTCTAGAACACTGTCTTTTTGTCTCTTTAAATCATCTTAGTTCTCTGTAGACTTACTTAAGGATCACAGCAGGAAATACAGACAATAACAACTCCCAATTTTTGCATCGAGTATCTGCAGCTATTAGAAAGAAACTAACCTCATTTTCACTGAAGAAATACCAAGTTCAAGAAACACCAGAAAAAGATTCAGACTGGACGGATGTGTGACTTGTAAACTTTTAACTTTAACATGACTGACCTCAGCTTGAACAAACTGCCTACCCAAGTCAAATGAAAATACTATTCTCAAGAGTTGAAATAGCTGATCCTAGCCACATTTTAGATTGACATGAAGAAGTAGCATTTACCCGGAGGAGAAACTTTATGCCCTATTCTGCCACTTGCTGTAAAGTTGCTGGTTTAGTTGGACCTTTTATATGGAGAGGCTCTTCAAAAGACCGGAATCTGATTTAATGAAGGTTCAACTCGACTGAAATCCAATGGTGTTCCTGTGCTATTGCTGCTGTTCAAGCTCAACTTCAGCTATGCAAAACCAAGAAGTCCGCATCATCGTGGACAGAATTTAAGGCTATTTTCATAGCTTAGACCAATATTCTCCTGGATAAAACTTGTTGTATTCTACTGATCCTTGGGTTATTGCATATAGCCTAGCTGCGAGCTCAGCCATTTATAAAACTCCAGACTGACATATTGAAGGTCATTAACTATTTGTTGTTGTTGTTAAGTACTGTGGTGGAGTCGGTTCCGACTCATAGAGACTCTGCACAGGGTTTCCGAGGCTGTAAATCTTTACAGGAGCAGAACGCCTCATATTTCTCCCACGGAACCACTGGTGGTTTCAAACTGCCGACCTTGAGATTAGCAGCCCAATTTGTAACAACTATGCTACCAGAGCTCCTTACCCTTACAGCTGATCAGATCATCTAAGTTACTCATGTGGATGCCCAAGGCAAAGTTCCATCATCTAATGAAACCAACTGAAATCAAGCTGCTGATAGAGCCTACAACACCCAGATTACCACCATTGCTTTGGGATCCACCATCGTATCATATGTGACAACACATCCACCACTTAAGATGAATCATAAAGAAAAGGATTGTATATTTCTGATGCAGAGATTATCTTTGTATGCCAGACTTCTGACTACCAAAATCAGATCAGGGTGTGTATCACGAGCAAGAAGTCCACAATGCACCAGATGTTGCCACCCCATCTCTGTCCAACACACTCCTGGCAAGCTGACTATATAAAATCTTCAGTTCCTGTGCCCTTGTGCTAGTCTAATCAGTTACTCTGGTCACATTGCTGTGGCACTCAAAATTAAACTACTACATGTTTTTGACTTTCAGGAACATATGAACTGATATAATTGTCCTGCACTTCCTCCTTGTTCACCAAAGTTAAGTCTGTATTATCTCTGGTTTCAAAGACACCCTGCATGGTTTGGGTTATTAATTCAGTTGACTGTGCATAAAGCCCTGGGTGGCATGACTAAGGACAAAACTGTAAGTTGGCCTCATACTGATGCTAACAGTCCCGTTGGTGATACTGTTAATTAATGTGTGAAATGAACAGAATGCATCGGATTCCAGCCTCTGTCAGCCAAAATAGTCAAAGTGGCCAATGTAGTTGTACACTCACATGAAAATTCAAGATCAACCAAGTACATGTAAGGCTAAGTGTGGATTGCTGGGAGAGGCAATCAATCACAGGCCACAAGTGCCCCTGTATATTCTTGCTCTTGTGCCAAGAAAGCAAAGCTCTGACAACCATTCTTCACTCAGACCATTTCTAGGAATTTTGTTTCAAGTGAGCAGTCTTCAAAGTTAAGGTCATGTTCCCGCAGGACAAACAGCAGGCTTACTGATTGCCTGCTATATGAATGTGGTGCTTTCCCCAAACTCAGTGTTCTTCAGCTGAAATACAAACACTGCACACATAGCATCCATATGGGTCATGGTACCTGAGGGCATGGGAACCAAGGGAAACATGTACATGCTGCTTGTGGAGCCATGAGTAATTAACCCTTTACCTCTGACTCAGGAATCTGTGTCTTCTGACAGCATCCATGAAATAGTAATGAACTGGTAATCAAATTCCAGATGCAACAAAGACGTCCAAATATATTTAAATTTTAAAAAGCATATATTTTACAACAAAAATTATTTTTAATTTCTTTTACTTAAAGGGAGGAGAAAGAACTACTAAGTGAATGTCTATGCTCCTCTCTCACAACACACAATTTCAAGCCAAAATAAATAAATGCAGATTACAATAGACTCTGAAGGACTCCTACTAGCACAACAGGTAATCCTCAGCAGTTCAAACCAACCCAGCAGCACCACAGTAGAAAGGCTTGGTGATCTGCTTCCGTAAGAGTAAATCAAGAAAACTCTATGGGGTTGTTCTACTCCGTCACATGAAACTGATGAAAGTGATTCAATAGCACCTAACAATAGTAATAAGTTCCAATTTATATCAAAGTTTTCCAAAAACTTGAAAGTCCTGTTTGTTAAAATGGCTTCATTCATCATTCCAATTCTTAAATCACACACTCCCTATTGAGTTCTACTATGGCAAACAGCAAAAACAAATGCAGAATAAAGACATCAGCACACTACATGTGACCTATAAATAAACTTAATCAGGCTTCCATTTCACCTGGGTAAATTCAAAATAGCATTAAAATGGGCAGTTTAAGATAAGAATTTTGCTAAATCATTTTACCACATGAACAAAGGTTAATCTAAAAACAATTTCTTAAAGATAGCATCCAGTTCTCTTCTCTTATATTAGCAGAATAATGTTTTTAAATTATTGTAAAAAATAATCAAAATTATTCTCTATATGAAATATGCTAAAGGGAGAAAACCCAGAAATTTGGTACTAAACATAAATGATCTAAGAGAAAGAACTAACAAATGATTTCAATACGATGAATTTGGCTCTTGAAAAGAATAAAAATTTTAAACATATATGTTACGCTGTTAAGTGCTGTCAAGTTGGTTCTGACTCACAGCAACCCTATATAAGGTTCCCACGGAGCATCTGGTGAGTTTGATCTACTAACCTTGTCATTCGCAATCCAGTGCTGATCCTACAGTGCCACACCAGAAGTCTGCTTCTAAGAACTAACAAATGATTTACACACGCTATATTTTATTTTGGCTCCTTTGAAAAGAATGAAAATTTAAAACATATATATTATAGCCTGTTTAAAATGTATTCATTTATGATCATGCTATTGGCTTATGTCCCAAGTAAAAAGTCAGATAACAAAGCCAACCAAGAACTCACAGTAACAAATTTCCTTGAATAAGGTTCTTCAAGGCTTATACTGAATAAAACATAAACTTTTATAAGTAAAATCCTGTGTGGCACTGTAGGATATGTACTGGACTGCTAATCAATTTTAATTGGACTGCTAATGAATTTTAACTGGCGGTTAAAATTCACCAGCTGCTCCTCAGAAATCCTATAAAGGGACACTATGAGTCGGAACCAACTGGACAGCATTTATCAACTTCACCAAGAAACCATGGAGGCTCAGTGGTTAAGCACTTGACGGCTAACCAAAAGATCAATAGTTCAAACCTATCAACAGTTTCATGGGACAAAAGACTTCGTGATCTGTTCCCATAAAGATTACAACCTAGGAAAACCAATGGGGCAGGTCTAGTATGTCCTATATAGTGGCTCTAAGTTGGAATTGACTTGATGGCATCAACAGTTATAAACAGCTAAATGAATATGGTTCACAGTTTAAGATGGTTTTCTATAGCTCACTAATCAACACATTTAATTATATTGAATATTTCTACATTGATGTTTTAAAATTTTCTAATTATTCAATTAACTGATAAACAAAACAAAAACCTTCTCAACTACTTCAAAGATAAGCACAGTTAACCAATCCCACTGTGTACTTTTATTTTTTTTTAAATACCAACTGCTCTATTTCTATTCTGAAAAGAATTGCATTAAAAAAGCACCAACTCATATAAGCAGGTTTTCAAAATGTTTGTGGAATAATTATCTTTTTTAATTTTGGGGGAAAACTTTTATTGTGAATTCAGTGAAGGTTTACAGAGATCTTCAATTCTACAGTCCACAAATCATACACTTAGTTTCATCTCAATGATTACAATCCCTTTATGTAGCAGCTATCCCATTTCATCCCTGAGGTTTGTATCTTCCTTCCACCATCTGTCCCATCACTTCTCAACTTTGTCCTTAGGTAAATGCTGCCCTTTTGATCTTGAATAGTTGAACATTCTTCGTTGAGCATACCTTACCAGTGTTGCTGTTGCCTTACACACTATCTATTACTTCTGAAAACTGGACCACAAGGGTGAGTTCAGATACAGATGTAATACTTAGCTTATCTGAGGTCTCTTTCCTTTCCATATAAAGCTGGTGTTGTTGTTAAGTACAATGGAGTCTGTCAGACCCATAGCAACACTA